CGATAAGACCTTGTAACCTATGCTTAGAAGGCTAATTCCGCGGTAGTTGGCGCGTATGGCGGGGTCGCCTTTCTTGTGGATTGGGCAGAGCACACTTAAATTCCTTTTATACGTGACTTATATTTTAAAAGAGTATATATATTACGCAAATACCTCGCATAATTACTCATTTAAATTGGTTTTTGTATCTAAATCCCGTTAAACTAATCACATTTTCTTGCCAGCTACAAACAGGGTTGCTTAAGTAGCTAAAAGGAAATTTTACCCGAGTTGAGCGTTCTTTTGTCGCTCGCTTACAAAAAAATGCAGCGCCCCACGCTTTTCATTTTCAATCTCAGTAAATTGTTTATAATGACTTTTGCTAAAATTTCAAAATAAAAGTTATCAAAACAATTCTATGGGACTGAGAAATATTATTTTCTACTTTTAGTCCATTTATAAAAGCGTGTAATTAAAAAGTTTTTTTTTTATTTATTTTATACTTTTTAGTCTTGTCTGTACTAAAATTTTGCAATAGATACTAAAATAATTCAACTTGCAGATAAAAGAGAACAGAAGACTATCAAGCAAAATGTTGTTTGCTCACATTTAGTATATGCATACATATTACATACAACTACATATAGGCAGCAGTTATTTTCATTTAAGAAATGGCGTGTCGTCCATTTCCGCTGTACGTATATATAGTGCATATTTTTAACTTCTTCTGGCGAGGCGACATCTATCTCTAGAGTTTTTCTAATTGTATGTCTTTGATATGATATCTACGACGAGGTTGATATCTAGACTAGGTTTGCCATAAATACCTTTGCTATATTTATAGTATGGTGGTCTGGACATACAACAAACATTGCAAGTTCATAAAAGCGTTGTAAAAAGTAAAGCAGGTAAGTAAAGGCTCTCCAAGGCCGGGATTTGTCGTCAAAAATAAGGATTTTATAGTCTAACAGTTGCTTAATTTGAAAACTATGTATTACACATTCTTTTCGGCTTTCAACAAATACTCCTATAGTTAACTGCCCTTTCTCTAGTTTTTTGAATGCATGCAAAAAACGAGTTTGGTATCATGTTATCCATAATGTGCATGATCTTATCACGCAAATGAAGGGACCTAAAGTTCTAAGTCGCCACCGAACGGCAAATGGTTTTTATGAGAAGCGATTTCATGGTAGAAGTACACTCGGAGGTTTGGAAATGCGACAACCGCAGATCAGGAATTGCGTAGAGCAACATTTACTGGAAGTTTATATGGGATCTGGAAGACAGTCTTCCCAAAATAAATTTGAAAAATTGATTGAAATAGTAACTCTTCTGACTATGAGGGGAGGTGAAAGAAAAATAAAACTTGCGCCAGCTGCGATTTGAACCGGGGTTCACAGATTTTCTAAGCGGATGTTCTCTCTACATGCCAACGCCGCACATGGAAATTCGTTGACTAAGTGCCTACATATCAGTAAATCGTTAACCATACCCATTGTCCGCCACTGCGTGACATTGTAACCAATTTTAGAACAAAACTCATACCTTATACATTACATTCGGACCACTTTTAGTACAATTCACCTGTTTTACATTACACTGCTTTAAATTTTTGAACTATCTTTGGTCTAGATACAAAACTACTATACCTACGACTATATTGTTCGAGCAATTGGACCAATCTTTCCTTTAGGGACCGAATAGCCCGATCACTTTAGATTTTTTCCACGAAAAATTTCCAGGAATAATTTTTTTGATGCAGTTAGGTGTCTCCTGTTTAGGTGAACACAAAATGAAAATTTTTCCCCCAATTGCGATATGGGAAATGTCCCCCATCTTGGATTTTGTGTTCTTTATTATTTGCGCGCGTCGTTTTTATTATTACGTCGATTTTGGTCTAAAGTGATCGTTCTACGAAGTGGATATCGCTGGTTGCAGACATCTAGCCTTTTCAATTCTCTAGGATATCGGGTCAAACTTTGCTGGAGTTTTCTGAGACCAGTGATTGGCGCAATTCTAGAACTTAAAGCGTATTCGAACGCTGAAGGTAGTATTTCTAATGATGCTGCCAAACTGACACTGATTCAGGACCGAATGTAGCGGAGACAAAGTTCCTATCTTGTGGGATTATCTGAACACTTTTTTATATCTACTGCGCCTTTTTTAAGTTTAGGTATGAGGCTTTGTTACGTTGAGTGGCGAACATCTGAGGTTTTTAACGCCCGAAACTCTACGCCTAGGGTTCGAAATTTCAGACTTTGGTATCGATACTGAGTACTCATTCTGGCATCGAGCTCATCGTATCGATACTCTAAAAGTATCAGGGAAAAAGTATCGATACTACTCAGTATCGGACTCATTAAAATACGTATTTGGGATACTAAAATTATTTCATTCTTCAATCTTATATCTAGTTATTTCCTGAAATTAAAACAATAGAAATTTAAAATATTTGATTTTTATTGCACTGCAAAACTTACTTTCACGTTAGAACTAATTTTAACGTTAAATGTACATACATACATACACACACACACATATATATATATATATATATATATATACTTTCACGAATTTCAAATTTTATTAAAAAAAATTTGCACATTTTTTGGGTTGCATTTTTGTATCCTATTCAATTTTAGTATAATAATGTGGAAGTTTGAATTTAAAGTCAACGGCTACACGTAAACTTGAATAGGTTACAAAACTGCATACCCAAAAAGTTTCTAAAAATTCTGCATTTTCGTGAGCTTTGCGTAAAGTGGTATGGCCTTATTCATAAAAAATAAAAAAGGTATATAAACTGAAAAATGTATGATAATGTCATTTTACTAAGCTCTTTAAACCTACTTTATTTTTTATGAATAAGGCCATTAAACTTTTACTTAATTGGTTTATGTTATGCAACAGACTACACGCAATTTCAGTTTATTTTAAGTGATTGACAAAATTGAATGCTAGTAATCCATATAAGCAAAGAAAATTGGGTTGCTAATGGAAGAAAAAATTTAAAAAGTGTGTTTTTTAATAAGTATTCGATACTACGAGTACTTTGCAAAGTATCGAGTAAAATCACCAAATAAGGTATCGAGTATTAAAGTACTCATTTTTATACCCCCAGTATCGATACTTACTCAATATCGATAGTATCGTTCGAACCCTATCTATGCCAGGTTACTCGTATATTGCGAGTAAAAAAGTATTCTTATTATTTTATTGTTATTTTTGTAAATTTCTGATAACTTTTGGTACTTTTTCGTGAAATATTTTCATCCCCTAATTGTTAATTTTGAGCGTTTAATTCTTTTCCAAAGAAGCTTTCCTATTTCACAGTTCTAACTTATCGGTTTTTAGAATTTGATATGTTTTGTTAAATTTTTTAGTACGAGTAACTGCAAATTAGTGTTCATAAATTTTCTATATAAATAAGTTAATTTAATGTTGAATGCTTGACGAGATGATCTTCGACAGAGGTTTAGGAATCAAGATATGCTTGATTACAGCTTTGCCCCTGGTTTAAATATTACGATTGTTTTTGTAACATTTTTTAGTTACAAATTTATTTTTGTTCAAGGGGGAAAAACTGATTAAAATTGTTTTTCGTTTTTGACCTTTACTACGCACTCATCTTTCGTAAGCATTTGCAATGCTTATACCTTGGCTGAATTTACTTGCCGCAGCCATTTTTGACACATTTTTTGTAATTATTTTTTATACATTTAATAATAATATAATATGGGAAAGTACATTAGTTCACTTACCAGATAAACAGTAACCACAAGCACTTTCACCGTCCGGATGTTTTTCGCGCATGTGAATCTCGAGTGTCTCCTGATACTTGTAGTGCCAATTACATTGCGGGCACTTCAGGGTCTTGCAAGAGTTTCGAGTTGACATCTGAACACCAGTATTGAGTCGTGTCGAACTCAGTATCATCTCGCAACTGTCAAATATAAAAAAATAATTTTACTTACATACATACATACGTACATACGTACATATTTATGGAATGATACGCATTTAACAAAACAAGTATGAAGGGTTAATGAGACTAACAGGCTAACCTAATATTCGCGGCTTGCGTTTTGGTACGCATGCCGTCGAATTTGTTTTTTTGCGTCACCCGAAATTGACTTGCATGCGTTTGCATTTGATTTCATTGAGCGAAACGTCAAATCAAAATGTCACGCAGAACAAAAATTGGAAATTGAGTTAGCTTCATACGCACGCCGTTCAATTTCGGTTGATCTCATACAAGTTGCATGTGCATGAGAAATTTTTGACAATAAATTGGCGGCGTGCGTGAATATTAGGTTAGCCTGTTAAGATAAATTTTGAAAACCTACTCTGCATATTTGTGAATATTTGTGGCCAGTAATTTAACCAAGTATATTATTTTGCTATTTATCGCATCGCTTACATAATCGCATATATGTTCATATACTATATCATACTAACATATACATACAAGCAGATACTCCTACATACCCAATTTGCAACAGGGCGAAGACGACGTCGTTACGACGCCGCTCTGGCGAAGTCGTTTTGGTGAACTCTAAACGACGTCGTTACGAAAATTGGGTTTATTTTCAACAAGGACCATATAGTTCAAAATTCAAAAATTGCGCAATATACATATGCATGTATGTGTTTATAAAAAAAATTAACAAGCTTTTATAAAAATTTTAAGATTTTTATTCTGCATTAAAGAAACACATATGAAGCAGTTTTAAAGTCCATTGAAGTTTGGTATGTTTTGTGTTTGGTAATAGAATACAAGGTTGAAGTGCCTCAAAGCATGCATTTTCTGTCATAAAATTCATATGGATGAAAGTGCGCAGTACCGTAAAAAAAGTAACACCAAAAATCAATGTGTGTTTTGTGTTACTTCAAACCTGTGTTCTATTATACTAACATTTTATGGACTATAAAACTGCTTCCTATGTGTTTCTTAAATGAAGATTAAAAAGCTTTAAATTTTTATGAAAGCTTGTTGAAATTTTTTTATATATACATATATATGTATGTACGTATATTGCACATTGCTTTAATTTTGAACTACATGGTCCTTGTTAAAAAATAAACCCAATTTTAATTAATTTTAAAGATAACTAAAATGAAGTAACAAAAAAATTAATTGTTAAAACTTATATTATATTAAAATATATGAAAATTTTTGTTTGTATTTTATGACTGAATGTTTACCTTATTTTTCTTTTTTATTAATATTTAAGTATTTATGTGTATTTAAAAAACTTTGAAAAAAATTCAATGAATTCAATTAAACTATTTTAAACTAAAAAATTGTTTTTAATTTTCTAGCAACTTTGAGCGTCGTTTTGCAGTTCGCTGGTATATCGTTCTTGCGGGCTGCAGGGGAGTCGTTTTTGCGACCCGCCGGCAAGTCGTTTTTGCGACCCGCCGGTAAGTCGTTTTTGCGACTCGCCGGCGAACAAATTGTTCACCAAAACGAGTCGGAAACGACTTCGTTACGACGTCGTTTGGCAAATTGGGTACGTATGTACATATCGCACACCAAATCAAAAATGGGCATAAATAAAAATATACCAAATGTTCAGGTGAAGCTTTTTGCGCAAGCGAAGCAAGCAAAACGAGACAATCTTAATAGTAGATATTCCAGTTAACAATGATAGTGATGAAGAATAAATTTTGGCGGACGTTAGTAATATGGTCTGTGAACTGTTTTATGGGAAAAAATTAATTTTTAAAAATTATGAGTTGTGACTGTTTTTGATTTAGAGTGCGATATGTTCAAACACAAATAAAACTGCACGCACATTTGTACATTTATATGTACATACCCTGCAGGGAAACCGCGGACTAGCGAAACAAATTTCTAGTTCCGTACTAGGTCTTTATCGCCAAAAAGGAACTGGTCCGATAGGACCTAGATCCCCACCAGTCCAAAATCGGCGAAAAGTAGTACTTTTAAAAAACTAATTTTTTTCAGTTTTTTTCAATAGAAATCTATCAGGCATGTTCTGAAATTCGAAAATTTGAAATCGACTCGATTTCGATAATTTTTTCGATGGTTTTTAATCCAAAAATTTTTAAGTCTCGCATTAAAATGATTTTCTTTTATATCGCTGTTGCTTCCTTTATAGTTTTCAATTAGAATATTCACTCCTTTCATCAGATATAATTAAAAAATATTTGGCAAATCGAGTCGATTTCAAAAAGATTCGAATTTCAGAACATGCCTGTATATCTAAAGTGACGAATTTAGAAATGGTTCGGAACTATAGAAAAAGGGATGCAGAACGAACTAGATCTTATTTGTCGAATTTAGAACTATTTCGGAATTATCGAATAAGGGATGCAGCAGGGGGCTTGTTTACTTTACATAGATATATGTTCGGCGGCTTTTTCGTTCAAATACGCTTCTATTTAGTGCTTCGCAGATGCTTTTTCATAGCTTGGTTATACAAAAGTAAAATTTGTGTTAACATTTCAACATCTTGGGAGCGTCTGGAATCTAAGAAACAACAGCGAGCACCTCTGCAAACTCAGCTACAGCAAAAGGTATGTAAACGTATATTTCTTACAATCATTCAAACAAATTTAATTTCAAATTGAAAATACATTTCTTCCAAAATAACTTAAAATCGCACACACGGAAGAACCAAAAAGATTGAAAAATCATGATACTTTTTTCTTTCGTCTGTCGATTTTAGAACTGCTTCGGAACTATAGAATTTAGGAATAGTTCGGAACTATCGAAAAAGGGATGCAGCGGGGGGCAATTGACACTTCCTAGGACATCGCCATGTTAAATTCGCCAGTTGCTTGCATGCAAAAGAGATTTATCGCGAACCAGTACTGGGTCTAAATGTACTAGAAGCGCACCAGTTTAGACAGGATATATACTCTTGTATAAAGTTGGGGCTGTACGTACAGCGTACTTTGCCCCTAGGACAAGAGCAATCCGCTTTCAATGAACTCACACAATGGTCAATTAGAAGAAACTGTAACTCATTGCTTAAATGCTTTCATCAAAGAAAAACATTCACAGCTAGCTAGACCTTCTGCCGCTGCTGCTTCCCTCGCCGTGAGACGCAGCTTGGAACTCCAACCCCTTTTTGCAGCGAAAGTAAGTTTCGCTTCGATTGCATCTCCAGGGAATTGTGGTGATCCCAACACGCTAACCCAACATAAAACCAATGAAGCAATCTCAATTAAATCAAATAAGCTACCACATCCATAACAGAAATGAATGAACAATTGCATGCACCCACCAAATAATTATGCACGTATATGTAAATATGAGTATATTGTATTGTTACAACAGCGTGCAATTTGATTCAGCAGAGATCATATTGGAATTGCCACTGGTGCGGGCGTCTCATTAACTTACTGATTTAAGAGCTTTTAAGCATGTGCATAGTCCCCAAGTGTTCTTCCGAAAGCATAATATGAATACATATTAGTGTATTATTAGTTATTCCTTTCATTATTCGTTAAGGCGTGTGCTGGGCCAAGTGGGACGAGCAATATCTCCTATCGAGGAGCAATGAAATAGCAAACTTAAATTAAAAGTTGCAATCAAATATTTATATATACATAAGTACATAAGTATGTAAATAGATATGTACATATACACGACTTAGCCAAATTAAAAGCATGAAATTTGATGAGATACCCAAAAAATTATTACCACGAACATTGGTACGACCCGTACTACATACGAGTAGAAATCATTTCTGTCTTTTTAAGCGATAGTTTGTAATAGTTTGTAACACATGTTACGAGTTTTCATGTCCTGGCATTTTCGTACGCAAAAACTTGCAAGGGATAAATCCAGAAAACGAAATTTTAAGGGAAGTTGCAAGTTTTTACTGGATGCAGCTAATTATAGCTGCTTGTTGCATTTTACACAAACGAATGAAAACAGTTTAGGAATTGTAAAGTTAAAACTGCCAAAACATAACAATTTAATTCAACTTCTTTGCCTAGTAGCTGCTTGCTTACGGCGCTGTGGCGGAGTAGTGCGTTCTACCACTCCGTAGAACCTGGGGTCGATCCCTAGTCCAGGTCACGTCTTAATTAATTCAAGTTTTTGATAAAATCCATTTTTCTGCTGTAACAGCAAAAGTTTGAGCGTCACAGCCTTGGCATGCGATTTTTAGCGGTGCACACAAGAAAAAAGTGGCGATTTAGCTGAACAAAAATAATAAACTAATATAATTGATTTGTGGTGTGGGAAATTAATATTATATGACAGCGCTAATCTTAATATATAAAAATCGCGTGTCACTATGTTTGTTTACGCTAATCTCCGAAACCGCTTAACCGATTTCATTGAAATTTTGTGGGTGTGCATTGTTGGTGCCAACTTAAAAGATAGGATAGTTTTTTTTCATCGACATTTTTTCTATGCTCCTTGCAACGTTCTTAAAAATCCCGTGTCGTTAACGGTAATTACAAACTACCCATATCCGAAGCGGGAGTTTTCCAATGTTATTCGCGGCTACGTTTCAAATGTATGTTTATGTTGGGGAGAATAGGTAGGATACCCTGTAGGGATAACACGAACTAGTGAACCAGATTTCTAGTTCAGTACTAGTTCTTTATTGCCAAAAACGAAACGGCCCGATAGTAACTAGTTCCGCACCAGTCCAAAAGCAGTGAAATGTGGTACTTTCACTAAACTATTCTATTTTAAATTTTAAAAGCAGGGAAGGTAATCATTATGAGTAAAATAATTTAAACAGCATTTAATCATTATTTTATGAATTATTATTGAGTTTTATTTTTTCGCTCAAACGGAAATAATTATTATTTGATTTTTATTTTTGGGATTACAAATAATGATTATTTTATGATTTTTATTTTTTCGCGCAGAGATTATCATTAATTTTCAGTTTTATTTTTCCACTTAAAAATAATGATAATTTATAAAATTGAAAAGGCCATAAAGACGCA